TCTTCCGGCTCATCGCAACTGCTAAGTTAAGCAGAACTGTTCTACTCACAGTCGGTGGTTTCGAAAAATAAAGGGGTTGGGAATTCAGTAGTAATATGGTACTACTCCACAGTGGGTTGATATTAGAAGACCGGTCAGTTAAATTTTGACCAAATAGAGAGTGATGAGTAAGCCTGATCGAGCACTACCAGAAAAACTGAAACAATTAATCTGGATTGTCAGCTAATTTGCTGACTGGATCATGGCCATGACGGTGTCGGGTTTGTACACACGCGACCTGTTTACGTCGCCTGACGGCTGTCGCATCCGCCGTTGCCTGTAAAGGTTGAAGCAGTGGTTTATAATGACTTCTCGCCGCCGGTATACTACCTGAAAGGCTCCCTTTTTATTAACGTTATGGCTATTTCCTATCATAAGCATTGGGATGGAGTAGACTACAAAAACGTCGCAATTATTATCTCAAAACTGTTGAGAAATCTGGCCGCTCCAATTTTTGCTGCGAAGACTGTAGGCCCTTTCTCTAGTATATGACAGTTCGACCATCGATTTCGATGATGTCCACCGTGTGCCCCACAGCAGGTTGGAGCAGGGACGGTGACTTGCGCAGGGGTTTATAGTGCCGGTAGACTTGCTCTGCATCTACCTACACTCTCTCCTCCTCCCCCGCCTGAGCCCGGTGTCAAGACAGAGTCAAGAAGACCGGAGACGAGGGAGGCCGCAGGTGGATGGCTCGGACGGATCCTCACCTTGGCGTTCCACCACACCCCCTGGTCCACACAACAAATAACCAGGATTTCAACTAACAACAGAGCTTTGGAGGATGGCACGGCCGAAACCGCACCTGGGCGTGCCGCCGACGCCTGGCTCGGGTCCCACACTGTGGTGAGAGTGCCATAAAGGCCACATTTAAAAGGAGCCATTGCAGCCTGACTCTCAGACCGCCTCCAGTTAAGGAGGAGGATCAAGTTACCCCGTCAGTTGGCAACCTTCCAGGCCACGGCTTTTAGCGCACCGTGATAGCTTCAAGCGCGTCAGATGGATTATAGTGAGGAAAGTGCGCTGAGTCGTCGACCTCACTCTCCCTTCCCATTCCCACACCCCAGCCGCTGTCCGAGCCGGTCGGCAAACTGGAGTGGTGGATGGGCGCGGTGGCTGCCACGGTCGACTGACCATGACTGCGCGCGCCACAGCACGACCTGGCCCCCCATACACACACAAATACCAGGATTTCACACAACGGGGGTTGAACGGCGTGTCTCTCACTTGCGTGAGAGGGCCGTGGAAGGTGCTGCTTCAGACAGTTCCCAGCCCACCAGTCCGCCACTCCACACAGCACACACACACAACGCGACGAACTGCGTGAACCGAGAACGGGCGTCAATCAGCAACCTTCCTATCCACGACACTTGAAGTGTCGGGATAGTCTCGGACTCAAATCACCCGTGTAGCCGAAGCCGCGTGGGGACAGAGTCGAGATGCACACTTCGCACTTGCATGGAAGGTGGCAGTTGGTGCATGCGGTGGGTGAGTGTTGGTGATGGTGGAGGAGGGTAGAGAGTGTGTGGATGTGTGGTGTAACCGGCGGTTGTATACCGCAGGTCGTCGTGGATGCGCATGTGGCCGAATAGGCCCATGTGGTGCCCGAAAGTGTGTGGGCAGTTGAGTCGAGCGTGGTGGGTGTAGGTTGGTGCTCCAGGCACTGGTTCTCCGGTCTCTGTGCGATGGATTCGCATGCGACCGACCAGGCCGATGCGTGAGGTGAATGTGCGTGGACAGTGTGGACATGTGGATTCGGCGGTGTCAGTGTCAGCCACAGACGAGGCGTTGGTGGTGGCGCAGATGGACGGTGCGAGGGTGGTGCTGGGCATGATGGGCGTGGTTGGCGTGTCGGAATTTTGGTCAATTCCGCTCTCGTGAATACGCATGCGGCCGAATAGACCCATGCGAAGCCTAAAGGTGCGAGGGCAGTGTGGGCAGTGGAGGCGAGTGCGGTGGGTGTAGGTTGGTGCTCCAGGCACTGGTTCGCCGGTCTCTGTGCGATGAATTCGCAACTGACCGACCAGGCCGATGCGGGAAGTGAAGGTGCGATCGCAGTGAGGGCAGGTGTAGTCCTGATTCTCATAGCTGGAGTCGGGTGAGGCGGGGGTGGTGCCGGTTGTTGTGTCGCGGTTGTTGATGTGCGAGACGGCTGCCTGAGCGGCCGCCGTTGAGGCAGTGGTGGCGGGGGAGGAGGAGGATGGAAGTGGTGGTTCAGAAGAATTGTCAGTCAGTTGGCGGTGGAGAGGAGGAAGAGGCGTGCGGGGGGCCGATGGTTGGTGCAGTTCGAGAGGCGCAGTTGATCCGAACATGTCCAACAAGTCCGATTCTACCCCGGAATGTCCGTTGACATTGACGACACGTTGGAATCGGTTGTGCGGCGGCGTTGCGTACTGGGCGAATTTGTGATTTGCAGGCTTCACGTTTCGCTTTGACGGCAGCCATGCGATTGGCTTCGTAGATCGCAGCGCCTGTCTTCACTGTCCTCCTCCATGTCGGTCAATCGAGTGCGAGCTCCTCCCAGTTGGTGGGGTTGATTTGCAGACGCTTCATGGAGGACTTCAGGGTGTCCTTTTATCGACGAATTGGGCCTCCTTGTCGGCGAGAACCCGTCGCGACGTCTCCGTAGAAGAGTCGTTTGGGTAGTCGCTCGTCGTCCATTCGCACCAGGTGGCCGCTCCAGCGCAGCTGAATTTGCCTAAGTATGGCGTAGATGCTGAGGATTCCCGTCCGTTCCAGCACGTCAGTGTCGGGGACTCGATCCTGCCAGTTCAGCCTCAGGATGCGACGGAGACAACAGAGGTGAAAGTGGTTCAGACGGCGTGCCAGCTTTGCATACACCGTCCAATTCTCCGCTCCATGCAGTAGCGTCGGCAGGATGACGGCCTTGTACATCTTCAGCTTCGTGCTCAGTTGGAGACCATGACGATTCCAAACTGTGCTATGGAGGCGACCGAAGGCTTGACTGGCTTTCGAGATCCTGTTGGCAACTTCGTCATCAATCTTGATGTTGCGCGAGAGGGTACTGCCCAGGTACGGGATGTTCGCCACCACTTGCAGTTGATTTCCGTTCACGCTGATATGCGGCGGCGGTGGCGCGTTGGGGGCTGTGGCTGAGTTGGGTGGCGGTTGGTGCATCACCAGCGTCTTCTGCGTGTTAATGACCAGACCGAAGTTCTCGCAGGCGGCGGTGAATAGGTCCATGCTGCGTTGCATCTCCTATTCCGAGGTGGTGTTCAGGGCGCAGTCGTCGGCGAAGAGAAGTTTGTGAACGGTGGTTGTGGATACGCGCGATTGGAATTTCATGAGCCGTTGATTCAGGAGATGACCTTCCGTCCTGTAGGCGATGCGGCTCCCGGGGCGTTCGTCGCGGTAGGCGTCCATCAGCATGACAGAGAACATAAGACTGAAGAGGGTTGGCGCCAGCACGCATCCCTGCTTCACTCCGTTGGTCACTGCGAATGCCTCTGAGACAGCTCCGTTGTTCGTGACTCGCGCCATCATATCGTCGTGCAGCTGACGCACCATCTGAGTGAATCGCTCCGGACAGCCGAATTTCTGCATGATCTTCCACAGTCCTTCACGATTCACCGTGTCGAAGGCTTTCATCAGGTCCACGAGGGTAGAGTACAGGTGGGTCCACATCTCCTGACGCTTCTCCTGAAGTTGACGGGCGGCGAAGATCATATCCGCGGTGATTGTCGCAGACTTGGCGATTCCCTTTGCGCTTGTAGATATGCACGATGGTTGCGTCTTTGAAGTCTTGCGGGACATCGCCTTGACGCCACATTTTCTGGCAGAGCGCAGTCAGGTGATCCATGAGTTGAGGACCTCCGTGGTTGTAGACCTCAGCAGGGATTGCGTCCGATCCGGGTGCTTTCCCGCTGGAGAGCTGCTGCACGGCCCTGATGGTTTCCTGGAGAGATGGCGTGAGGTCTAGGTCCGCGTTGGTCTCCACTTGCGGCAAACGCGCGATGGCGGCGTCGGAGATGGCGGAAGGGCGGTTGAGGACACCTCGGAAATGCTCGGCCCATCGCTGTAGGATTTGCGTCTTTTCAGTCAGGAGAGTGCTGCTGTCGGCGCTGAGAGGAGGAGCAGTGTCCTTCGTTGGCGGACCATAGACAGCTTTGATCGCAGAGAAGAAGTTCTTCCATTCGTTGCGGTCCGCGTAGCCTTGGATCTCCTCAGCTTTGCGAGCAGTCCAGGCGTCCTGCATCTCGCGCAGTCGTTGCTGCGGTAGAAGGCAGTTTTGTTGTCCTCAGTGGGGTGGTCTGTGTAGGCTTTGTGTAGGCGGTTCTTCTCAGCAAGCAGATTTCTGATGGCGGCGTCGTTGTCGTCAAGCCAGTCCTGGTGTTGGCGGGAAGCGCGACCGAGGACGGTGAGCGCCGTCGACTGGACCGTGCCTCGCAGTTGACAACAGGGGTTCTCCACGGAGGCGTTCTCGGCAGCGGCGGCATCGGCAGCGATACGAAGGTTGTCTAGCCGTTGATCTAGCTCATTGCTGAAATGGAGACGGTGAGCGGGCAAAGACTACAAGGCAACATTCAGCTTACCTGGGGGTCGCTTACCTTGCGGTCTCCTGCGAGGCTGTAGGCGAATACGCATCTTCGAGATGACGAGGCGATGGTCGGTCCACCCATCAGCTCCCGCGATCGCCTTCGTCACCAGCACGACCCGCTGGTCACGCCTTCGGACGAGGACATAGTCCAGCAGGTGCCACTGACGCGACCGAGGATGCCTCCAGGTGGCCTTCTCTCGCTCCGGCAGACAGAAGAACGTGTTCGTCAGGATAAGGCGGTGTTCTGCACAGGTGTGGAGAAGCAGCAGACCGTTGTCGTTGGAGCCGCGGAGACCGTGGGGACCCAGCACTCCCCTCCAGGCAGTATGGTCTGTTCCGACGCGGGCGTTGAATACACCGAGGACAATCAGCTTGTCCGCCTTCGACACAGTCGCCAAGAGGGCATGCAGATCCTCGTAGAATTTGTCGCTGACGGTGTCGGGGTTGGTCATCGTCGGAGCGTAGGCGCTGATGAGGGTGGCGAATTTGCCCTCACCACGCCGGCGGAGAGGCAGACGGAGGCTCATGAGGCGATCGTTGATGCATTGCGGCTGACTGGGCAGTAGTCCCACGATGTCGTTCCGGATTTCGAAGGTGACACCCGCGTCTCGTCTCTCTGCCTTGGGTCGACCACTTCAGAAGAAGGTGTAACCGGCACCCACCTCCTCCAGTTGGCCTTGTTCGGAGAATCGGGTCTCGCTGAGTGCGGCGATGTCCACCTTGTATCGCGCCAGTTCTCGTGGCACTAGCGCCGTCCTCCGTTCCGGTCGGTTGCTCCTCGGATTGTCTAGAAGTGAACGAACATTCCAGACTGCCAGAGTGAGCGGACTCACCCTGTCAGCCTGGTGACAACGAGTGGGGCGACGGGAGGCAGATGGAGAAGAAGGTGACGAAGGAGAAGAGTAGGCAGAGGAAGACGTAGGAGAGGTAGGATGAGGAGAATGAGTATGGTTGTTGTTGTTGTTATTTGGATTGTTGTTGTTTCGATTTTGAGTGTTTCGACCGTGTGATGACATCTGCGGTCGTGGCTAGCCTGCAGACGGCGTGGTGCCCAGCATTTTTGAGGCCACCTTTTCTAGAGAGAGAGAGAGAGAGGATTGCTTTATTTTGAAAATAACTTTCAAAACTTTCAGCAAAAACTGTTCTCCAGTACACAGTGATTACCATAGAGATTAACAGGTATTGGACAGGTGGACATAATTATATATGAAGAAAAAGGGACTTTAAGGTGAATGATCGAGTTTTAGTTTTTGTTTTTCAACATCTTTACAGGTGAGATACCGGGCTATAAATGGCAGTATGGAATTCCGATAGGCCGGAGTTCGACAAGGGATGTGGCGGAACCATCGACGCATGGGGCGTAAGGATTTCGCAGCCATTAACTCATTATGAAGGGGATGGACGGTGTCATTCAGAATTCGGTCAGCGAATTGCTCCACCGAGTTGAACTGTCGCTGCACGATGATATCAAAATTTATACAGCAGTCGATTGACAAAAATGGCCACTCCTCAACCTCTACTGCCTGTTGGAGATGCTCTATCATTTCGAAAACAACAAAATGTCGAAGGAGTGATTAGTTCCGAGTCAATATGGCTATTCAACCACGTATCCTGAAGGCAAATTACTCCTGTTTTGCCATGTTCTTTGGTTGACAGAAGTAATTCCAAATCATGGGTTTTGTTAAATATCGATCGACAGTTAGTCGAAAGAAAACCCGGGATTGACAACTTGTTTTTAGGCTGGCGTTTAAGCGCAACTTGCCATCCACAGCGATGTTGCTTTCGAAAAATTGGCCTTTGCTGATACGAGCGTGGGAAGGCCAGCGAGGAAGGACGAGAAACAGGACAAGTTGTCAGAGTGTAACTGCTGCTGGCACGCTGAGTTCGTTGCGTTTGAGGGCGTGAGAAGGCCAACGCAGGACAATCGCAGAAACGACAAGTTGGCCGCAAAGTGCAACCACTAGAGTCATGATCAGGAGGCGGAAAAATCGATGCAGAAATTTCGCAGGGTTTAAGCTCCTTTAAAAAGGTGCTAGCGTACTGTAAAGACAACCTCATAGGAATAGATCAATTAAAACAAAGGAATAAGACTGGGGCATGCAATTAATTAATATTCATGTGACTGGAGGGAAAAAACAAAAAATGACGGCTCAATTTCAAAAGCCCGCCATCCCCTCGTGGGGGCTGTCAGCGCCATCCCTGCCATGTGCCGTTGTGGCACGGCCGAACTCCACCATGGGACCACGACTTCGGGTTGTAGTGGAGAGCGACTCGAATTCGCCGTAAGCCGCGGTCCCCGACGGCGTAGGTGGACGCGTCAAGGCGATGTCGATGTGGAGACCCATCGCGTCGCTGGCTGTCCAGCGGCGTGCAGAGTCGAACCACGTCACGACGGTGCGGACGCAAGGTTCCATCCGACCTTCCATCCAGCGGAGTCCGCAAACCCTGTACACACGGCACAGCGCACTGGGCCCCCTCACCTGGTTTAGCCCGCCGGTCGAGACGGTTGCCCGGGGTGTGGCCGCTGAGCAGAGCCCAGCTACGTGGAGCCACATGTTAGAGTTGGGTGCTAGCAAATGGACTACTATAAATAGTGCAAGAAACGCCTGCGGCCATTACTGGAAAACTTCGATTTTGTAAAGTGCAATAAATCGAACGAGAATAAAGAACCGGAACACGACAACTTCTCGGAACCCGTGTGCTCTCAGTGTGTGGTGGTCGTGATGCGTTTGGCAAAGATCAGGGTTCTTGAAAGACCACGTTTCTGTTCCTATGTCACCTGTTTTAAATCTCCTACGTGCTACAGAACCACGTGGGCTTGATTGGATTATAGCCGAACTAATCGTCTTAGTCTTCCTGTGCCTTCTCAGTGCCTGAATGATTTCCTTTGGACAGGAACGTGAGTCTTTCGTAAGCCACGGCTTACCATCGTATCCTTAGCGCACGAAATTTCGCCAAGATCTGTCCCGCGTGCCCTAATTTTCATAACATGCTGATTTTCCAAGGGAGTGGATTCCTGTCTGCGTGCTTTCTGTGCTTTAATCTCGAGTTTCAGTCAGGTTCTGTGAAGTCCATAGCTTTTTTAGACGACCACCGTGTATGCTGCCCTTATCATCCCTTAAAAAACTTGACTTTCTAACACGTGGCGTATGTGGATCTTCTGAGCGCGAACGGGGTTCCGCAACGGATGTTGTAATAATACCCTGTGCCTGTTTGCCGTCCACATTCGCAGCCTCTCACCACAGAATCCTTACGTGACAGTTGCATTTCGTGTGAGTAATGTAAAAGTACCCTTGTACGTATACCATTCACCGTCTGTTCAGTGAGGTGGTTACAGTAAGGATAGGTGTTGCTTTTTAAGTTCCTTAGAAATTAACTGCGAACTTGGAGTAGATCAGGATATTGAAGGTCTATAAGCTCAGACCAAAGATTTTAGGTATGAATATTTAGGCCGATGTCCATTAGTCCTACCCGATAACCACGTAATAATAATAATTAACTACCGACAGACGGTTAGTAGTATACTTTAAGGTAAGGTGATTCCATACTAACAGCAAAGGCAGCAGCCATAAGCCCATACACGCGTGTTTCGCCGATATTCTGCCGTTGCATTTGGCCACTACCTGTGCTGTTAATATGGAATGCC